GGACAAGTTACTTTCCTATTGGTCTTCCTACCAATATGACCAAGTTGCGAAAACAAGGTCAAGCAATTTTTATTAATTTATATTGAGGAAAATAATTTAGTGAAGGAGCAAGATGATAATAAAAGCAAATACGTTGCGGATTATAGCACGTTAATGTCAGCATGCTTGAAGAAAATGTCATGTGCTAAAAAAGATAAGACGAAAGAAAGTGTCATAAGTGTGTTGGCATAGAAGGGGTTAAAGATAAGTGAGACCTTAGGTTTCATAAAAGGCAAGCATTTACAGAAAATAAGCATGAATATGAGGATAGTATTTAATATGCAAAGTAAGATGGAAGGACAATCAGTAAGACATTGCTGAGAACTAGTACTTATGTACATCAGTCCGAATGCATGCCATTTCGAAAATAGGCACCACTGTGAAATTAATCAAGCACATAGAGAAAAGACAAAGATCACTTGTATCCAATCCTAGTAACCTAACTTCATTCTTCCGTGGCCTATGCCAATTCGAGAAAGCTTCCTACCTATATAAGACTATCGTTTATACCTCTGAGAGCCAGTTAGACATAGGTGTTTATTGAAGCGACTAATAGCCTATACAACACTAAGGGCAATTCCAGTTATGAAATGACCTTCCAGACGTATTAAAACCTACTAAATTCTTCGGATGTACATCCATAAAATTGCCAGTTGAAGCTTCACTTAATTTAATAACACAAGCCTATAAATTATGTCAACAAAATTTTCTTTAAAAAAACAGTATAATATTTTTTTATATTCAAAATGAAAAATTTGTCTTGAATTTTTTTTGTATATCCTTGGACTTTGCAATTTAAAACGACTTATTTTTTCTGAGATAAGTAGATAAACTTCCTGACTTCCTTTTTGCTCTGCTCACTCTGGTTCTGGCTGTTTACGGAAAATAAAGTTTAGTAATCTTTCAATAATATAGTTGGACAAGATCATAAAATAGGACACATGGAAGGCTCATTTCACTAAATAACAGTTAAACTAATAGGTGAAACTATAAACATTACTTACGCTTGGAAAGTTTGGCTCAGCCCATGACAAAGTGTGATGCGTAGTGAATAAGTAAAAATTCGACAAAACAAAAAGCATTTTTACGGCCAACAAGCTTGTATCGCCAGTAAAAGACAATAAAGTATGTATATCAGGTTTATCCTACTTCGTTAAGATGATGAAGGACTGTTAGTTGAATTTTCCGATGACATGAGTACGCCTTATTTCCATTAGATTTTGCATAGCCCTCCTTCACAAAAAGGTATTCTTAGAAAGGGTGAACCGCAGTTTAGATCTCGCCTAGGTCTTACCAGCGCCCCAAACAGGACTCGAACCACGACAGTGCAACGTATAGTCTCGACAAATTAACAATGATGATACAATACGAGTGACCTTAGGCACTCGCGATATGATTATTCGAGTATGACTGGCAGTGTCGATAAGATCTATGCGAAGTCAAAATTGCAATTTACATTGGATGAAAAAACCTTTTGCGAATCAAGGCTATGTAAAATTTAACGGAACATACTGTTTACGTATATCATTGTGGAAAAAATCAATTACCAGTTCTTCATTAACTTAACGAAATATGGTGAATAAATCTAACATATATGATATCCCGTTAGTCTCCAAAACTTACTCATCAAGGAAAAATAATAAAATATGGATACTTCGTTGTGTTTAAATCCTACCTTGCTTCTTTGTTTCTTTGTTTCAATTTTAGAAATGATGAGCAAGAAAAGCCAAGTTAATCGTTTTAAGTTATGATTGCCTCTTCTTAAATTGGTGTTTTAAGTTAATCTTCAGGTAAACACATGAATAATAGCATTCATAAATCTGAGTAAGTGACGAATGTAAATTAATAATCTGCAGCGATCTTTGGGTTCGCACCAGCAGTTGTAATACCCCTGTCCGCAACTCCTTGTTTCCCGCGATGAGAGGAAGCACTAAGGCTAGCGAGAAAATGAGACTCGCGGAGAATTAGTTCTGCTGCACCAGCACTCCCAATCGGTAAGAAGGGTGGTGGGCCACCTTGGCGGACTCCCGTTCGCCCATCTTCGTTTCGCATAGTCTAGCGGGTTCAGAAAAAGTTTGATATAAGAAAAAATATTATAAAATAAAGAGCTAATTCTATAGTTCATTACTAAGTCATAGTGAAGACAAAATCCATATTATTTCTAAAGAGTTATTCGATGTTATTTAATGGTATGAAAAAAATATGAGATTAATTCACCCCAGTCCGTTTAAGTTGATGAAGGAGTGGTAATTGAATTTTCCAACAATGCTATGAGTAGAGCTAACGTTCCCATTACATTTCAATGAAAGTGGTCTCACCTCGTTTTCGCAACTCGATCTTGTTGTCAGAGGGACTTAGTTGGACGCATCTTGTCCGAAGTCCTCTGCTATAGTAGTTATCATAATTCCCTGCGTGGAGCCAAGGACTTGGCACATTCCCAGACACTTAGCAGGCAAAGTAGTGAACATCGTCAGTGTCTCATTCTCAGCACAAAGCTAAAACTCGTCAGAGTCAAGGAAAGTCAATACCTTGAAAACCTTTGACCTTGTCTTTTAAACTAATTGTATCTTGGTCCGACTACGATGCTGGCAAAATGTTTAGGAATGTACCACGTCCACGGTCCGACTTTGGAAATAATTAAGCATACAATTCCAATCCAACTAGGAAGTGTTATTCAGACACAGTTAATGAAATACTTTATCAAATCTACATCCAGAAATTAGAGGAAAATTAAGAGAATAAGAGGTGTAAGCTGTGTATGTTCATAGATCTCAAGTCTAGATTGAGGGAGGATCTAGATACGATTCTCACTTTGGATAAGATCTTTAATAAAAAAATGACGCAAGACCACCGAAAGCCTACGGACTACCGAAGATACATAAGGAAGGAAACCCGCTAAGACTAATAGTCAACAACAAGCATGGAGCAATACACAAACCAGCGAAATTCATTTGCTTGAAGCTCAAGAAAGTAAATGACATACTTTCGAATACCGTTAAGAATTAATATGAATTTTCCCAAGGAATCCAGAACATTGCGATTGTGAAAACGGAACTGTTGGTGAGTTTTTATATACAATCCATGTACACAAACATCTCAGGCAGTAAGCGCCTTGTTGGAGATATTTGAGCGAGAAGAGGACATCCTGGAGGCAGAACGGATACGAAAAAGATCGTTAACACAACTGATCAACATGACAGTAAGGACAACATATTTTACATTTAACAGCAGTATCTACGAGCAAATATTTAGACTACCGATAGGATCTCCACTATCACGTCTTTTAGCAAATGTCTACATGGACAAGTTGGTATACCCTAGTCTGTTGTGTGCCAACCCACAAACGTTGTGGTTCAACATTGATCCTAAACAAAGTCAGCGGTACCACAACATTTGTGGGTTGGCACACAAGCAACCAGGGCATGGCAAGTCATATACTTGGTAA